TGCACAGTATGGGTGTCCAGTACAACGCCACTGCCACCACAACTACACCAACACGAGTCTATGGGGCAACTAACACAAGCAAAACGATGGCTTACCATCTACTCATTGCAGACCAATATGAACTCACCAAGAATAGACCAGAATTTAATGGTACCGCAGTCTAATAAACCGAGGAGACATACGAGCAGGGCTTGATAGATGAAAAACTCACAATAAACTCTGATGGTTCACTCACAGCGAGCTCAGGTACTCAAAGCCCATGAATCAAACCGGACGACAGAGTGGGGTCATGGAGGAGGGGGGAAGACGTCAAAGTAGTGGAGGCAACGCCAGCATTAACGGGCATGTTGATGTTGCCACGTGGGGTTTAGGGCCGGTCGTTGAAAACTTTGCGCATTTATTGTACTGCTCTACTCGCACAAGAGGAGATCCTGTGACTAGATTCTGCATGGCAGCGACTACACACTGGTTCTACAGGTGCAGGACAAGTCCCATGAGTAGAAAGGGAGCAGCGGGCGATTGTCATCACTTGACGGCGTCCTCGGAACCTCGGCTGGGCTTCCGAGCGCTCGCAAGCTGATAGGCACGACTCGAGAGGGCTCGCGATGCTCGGGAGCTCTGGTGGGGTCTCGCAATGTTCGGGAACTCCGGTGGGGGGCTCGCGAGAAATAGTTTTTTTCCTGATGGGTTAGTACACCGGAACCACTGGTACTAAGCTGCGCGTGCCAATACATACGTCGTGGTTCTATTGACGCTTATCCCTCTAAGCGATGGCTGTTTATTTGATGAATTCACACGTTCTGAGTAGAGGTATTGTGGGGCACAGAACATCATGCTTGCTTACGGGAAGCTGCGTGAGCTGCGGCGGGATACGTTTAGGGGTTATGGCTGGGTTTCCGAGTCGAACATGAACTTTGCGACTTACGACAAGGGTCACGATGTTTGCGACATTGCATAGGAGAAGGATTCTTCGTGATTTCACACCAGAGAAATCATCAGCACCGTCGACCTGCAATAATTGGCTGAGAAGGACGGTACCCAAAATAGAATGCTCCTACAGAGACAGAAGTCACGATATGAGTGCGTCCATCAACAACTGACGACAAGGTGAAACGTGCTTACCGTCCCGTAATAGAAGAGTACTAAGACTACTTCGAGTTGCGCTGCGGAATACCGCGTCGAGCGTCTTGTAGAGCGTGAGCATGAATATTACTGCGTCGAATGCTAAGGAGATGCTCCAAGCCCCCGCTAAGACTACGCCACAAGGCGTAAGCAAAGCCCCCAGGACTCAGCGAATCGAGTCGACGTACAGCGACCTCTGGGTAAATCGTTGATCGATACGTCGTTGTCAATGTAGAAACAAGCGAGAGGTCAGATGTCCCGGCACTCACTCGGCTTCCAACAAGAATCCTTCACAGCCAGAGGTCGAAACGGCGTCCTGTGGGTCCGCCTTCGAGATCCCGAATGCCTTCGTCACAACCCACTGTAACGCATCCACTTCACATTGAGCTTTGGAATGTTGCGCGAATGCACTTACGATAGCAATGGAGGCTGCTACAAGACCGTACGCAAAGAGGAAGAAGAGCATGCGTCGGTTACGGTTGTACAGCGCATAGGTACGGAATAGTTGAAGCACTGTGTGGGTACGACGCGTGTGAATCGTAGCTCTCCTGTACAGCCTGCGGCTCTCGCACCTCCGATGATGATTTGAATTGCGGCAATTAGCGCTTGCTGGTAGAGGTGGAGTATATTACAGCTACGAGCGCAATCAGCGTGCTGAACCACCGATCCCGGACGGCGGACGAAGCTCACACCTGGAGACCTGTTAGAACGTGTACCCGAGGCATCTTTGGATGGAGCACTTACGGAAGCATCATAGACCCCAAAAAGCTCGTATGCCACGGGGATATGGCCCAGAAGAGACAGATACCGGTTCAGGAAGAATATGAGAGACACGAGGGACCAGCGACGCATCCAAAACCGCTCCACCTCCGCCACGATAGTCAACGCATAGTCGTAGTACAATATCGCTACGAGCGGGAGGCCTTTAGCATCACCTGCCCAGGATCAGGGAAGGGAAGCCCACTCACCAAGCGATACCGAGGCACATATGCGGACGATAAACTCAGACTGAGCACTGGTGAAGCCAGAATGTTCGGAGTCTGCAGACCATGGTGGATGGGGGGAACATACCTGGATACCGCACTGCTGGCATCCATGAGGTAAATGCTTGGATGAACTGTATGTTGGGAGTAGAGAGATCGAGGTAGTAGGGAGACATAGGGAAGACCACCAAAGTCACACAGACGGTCCCATACGGCATATCAACGGTCAGAGAGATACCCAGAGTGACTCCAGGAATACCTCAGTCTGGTCCCTGGAGGAGAAGACCTGGATCTAGTTCACGAAGGGGCGCAACTCCTGGAAGCGAAGCTAGAGATGTAAGCAAACCTTGCGAGAACGTGTGCATGACAGCCAGTCACAGGCGATCATCTAAAGCCGAAACTGCTATGTCACCTTCGGGAAGCGCATAAGGCTATGCGCCGCGCTCGTCGAAGATGCCACTCACCTATATGCCAACTAAGGTTCCGACGGCGAAACCGTTTCTCGGAATCGATGCTCGGATTGCTACACATCGAGTAATCTTCATGAAAACCCAGCTGCACGTTTGATAAGTATCAGCAATCCCCCTGAGCAGACCGAATCCATGACTGCCATCGGAGATGGACGCAGGGTGTCGAGAGCAAGGACTGGGAGGGGCTATTTAGACGAACATGAACAAGGCACCGTGAGGATTCCTATACGACGACGACGACATCTTCGCTCATTGACATCTTCCATGTCACATTGGAGCTGCCGTGATCATCCCTGCAGAAGCATAATCCCGCACCGCACTCACGGGGGTAGCAGACAACCACGAGAAGAGCTTGTAAGAGATCCTTCTTCCCGATGGAGAGGGCTGGCCGAGGTACTAACACTACGCCGATAGCACCCTCAAGGATAGCATCGCGGCCGAAACTCTAAAATTCTTTGGCTCTCTCGGGTCACTTCGGTATGTCAATGTTCATGTATAAAGAACCCACATACACTGGACACGTCATGCACCCGGAGAACCCAGACTTTAAGTTGTGACACTGATTCAATTGGCGCGAGAGGCGGAGCTGATGAAGACGAGCATTGACATTGTGCCCTGAGTTGAACATTAAGGTAAGGAGTAGTCAACAACGGCGGATCGGTGCCAGGAGATTCAAGAAAACGGTTCAAGACATGATTCGAGAGAGGAGTCCGAGGCCGCGATTCTGGAAGGACCATGGGCACCCTTTTCGTCGTCGGGAGGCTCAGGCGGAGTGGAATGACAGAAGTTCTCACTGCTTCCGTGTTTGCTGTCTTAACAAGCTTTTTCCTAGTAGGATTGCCCCGCTCACCATAGCCGGTTTGCGGGCAGGGGATGGAGGCATCAGACAGATATTCCCTCGATGTCCTACAATCCAATCTGAGAACCTGGCCCCAGCATCTCTTCAGTCACTACCATCGCTGTTCGCATTGATACCCTTGGTAGTCATGATGTGGAAGAGCGGGCGGGCAGTGAGAACGTCAGGCGCGTTTGACTTGAGAACAGAGAACAGAGGCGACGACGGAGGGTTCTGGTTGCAGCACTACCGGAATATACCGAGCGGAGGCGTCTACTCAGGCGGCAAACGCCGTCACATAGCTCGCTGGAGCCCGCCTCCCATTGCTACCAACCAGGTCTCTCCGTCTGTCCGATGCACTCAAGACCTCCCATATCAAGATTGTTACGCAAACAGACGTGAGTCGAAGGGTCGAATAATCTGGACCGAAGCCGAGCACTAATTGAACATCGTGTACCATTTGTGCATACTATGTATCTGACACGGACGGTACCATTTACCAAGTACCTCGTGAGGCTGATAGCTTTCAAGCTGACATAGACGCAAACTATCCGGTACACGGTTGATATCATAGTGTGTGGCGCGTAGAAGCCCTCGGCTGTGCCCCACAAACACGATTGATGACATGCGCCTCGTCGGAGGTCATCCTGAAAGCTGCAGATCGTTTTGAAGAGCCATTCCGTATCCTCCTATCCATTTGCTGATGTGTTCTGTTTGATTGATTTCGAAAGTCTAATGCGCGTACATATAACGAAAGCCTGTAAAGCGTCCTTGTCTTACGCAAGCCGTTCCCCGCCGAGCAGGCGGCCTTACGCAGGTCGTCACTTTCCCCTTCCGCCTCTTGCTGTATCACAGTCAAGCTGGGTTTTGTCAAGTTATGGGGAGTACGTCTGAAACGCGGCGTCCGTCAGACGCGGATAGTAGTCGTACTTGGTGTGGTGGGAGGTGATGTCGGCGCATGCCACGTGGTGGACTTTCGATACTCACCGCCCTGAGGCGGTGTCTAGAAGACGAGACCACATTGACTGGAGGCGTGAATATGCCCATCCTTCACAAGGTTTCCTAGTAGGACCGCCTCTCGCGTTCCTCGGCGCGGGCTGGCGGGGGCGAGAGACCTCTGAGCCCTTACCGTTACTCATCCCCGTCTCACTACCCACCTTTTCGTCAACGCCGTACACCACGAACAATGGCATCTGCCGTTTTCTCCAAGCTCAAATCTGTCTCCACCAAGCCTCTCCATCGCGTATCCGCTCTCGCTACGAAGGCCAGGGCGAAGGTGGGGCCCCACCTTCCTCGAAGCTCCACCGTCGTCGCCGGCATCAAAGTGTCCTTTGCGGTGGCCACGACGCTGGCCCCATCCGTGCCGTATATGCAGGGTATTGTGGACGCTGCGTCCAAGGTCAAGGAGCATGCAGATGTGGGTATCATTTCCATGTGTAAGCTTCTCTTTGGCTGACGGTCGGACTTACGCACCCGCAGGCCATGAAGAGTAACAGGAAGGAGTGCAAGAAGATCGCGGCACTCACCGAGGACCTCGCTAGAGGACTGCTCGCCGCCATGGATGATGTCAAGGAGGAAGAGCTGGACGATCCCACAAGGCTGAACTTGGCTCTCTTCGAGTGGTGAGTGGACTCCATAACGGGCCACGATCGAGCGGACACTGGTTCTGAGAGGTGTTATGGAAATAGGAAACTGCAGACGATCGGCGAAGCCATGGGTCAAATGCGCAAGGAGAACTCTTTCCGCCGTTTCTTCGCGAAAGATGAGCACGCAGAAACGTTGGCGGAGCACCGGCAGACGCTCCAAGATGCCGTTTCCACTTTCCAGGTATGCCCCCACTCCCAAGACGTCGGTGTCCGCATATTAATTGGTCATCGTTTGGATTGCACTTGTTCTAGGTCATGCAACTCGCGCGCGCGCTTCCTAGGATCGTGCGTCTCGTAAAAAAGCAAGATTTGGTGCTTCATGCCGTTGGCTCGCCCTCTAGGCGACTGCCAACGTTGAGTGTTGCACGAAGGCCCCGATCGAGGTGGCGGTTCGTGGCGATGCTATCTAGCGCCCTAAGAGCTTCTCAGAACTTTTTTTTTTATAGAGACGAGCCGGTGATATGGACTGCCCGCCGTGATTGCAAGGGGACGGTCAACCGGTCACCCTCAACACCAGTGCCAGTGACTGACGATGCGATCTGATCGCCGCTGTCTCCCACCTGAGGTCAATGCCGGATTCGCGGACCCTAAGTAGATCGCTTTGTATCGCCGATTTTCCGTACCGCTTTGAGTAGCACCGCCCCTGAGGTGTTTCCCCAATCTATTGCACTTTATCAGGCCCACTAGTGATTGACCCGACTCTACTGAGTTTCAGTCTGTTAATCAGTGGTAGAAGAAGGGTGTGGAATGATGAAGCTGATCACGATGCACGGTCCCACGCAAAATATATACTGCGTGTGATGTGGGATAGGAGCACACGATGGGTTACTACGACAAGGCGGAAGTCGTTTAGTATCCGTGCGGATAAATGAGGACAGGAGGTGTGGGAGAGGAGCATCTCGCTACGCCCGTAGCGGCGCTTCGTCGCTCAACACAAGGAGCCAAGGAAAACAGCGCAGTTTACTGGCACTCAGGTACCGGCCCGTCGTACGCGCGCGTGAGTAGCCATGACCGGCCTCATCCTGCTTTCTTGAAATGCTGATCGTCTTTTGCTCTCAGGCTGCCCCCTCCCTCTTTCGTAAGCATCATTATAATGCACATTGCGCTGGAGCAGGGATGCGCGGATATATCTGATGAGTACAGGCAGTGATCGCCTGCCTCCCCCTCGGCTGAGCGACACCATATCAGCTCGTCTGAGTGCTGGTCCATGTACCCACCGCCGACAGAAACTGTTGATGTTATCAAACAGTATCCTAGTTCATGGCACAACTGTATCACGGCCACACCCCGACTGCAGGATGTACTGTGTCAAACCGACCGACCACTGTCGACACAATTCATACCGAAGCGCCAGCATGAGTAACAGATACCCGGTATAGATGGTCAGTACACCCACGGCCTTCCGAAGCTGCGCAAGGGAAGGCGAATCACCATCCCGACGAGTCGAGGCAATCGACTGTTCTCCGTCTGTCCCTTCGTCCAAGCCACGCGCCCCGAGTCCAAGAGGCTCGTACTCGTAGAACTCGGTTTTCTCAAGTCCACACGCTGCCCGGGCCCCCCGCCGCTCGAGGCGAGGCTGGATCGGGGAACATCTCCATCGGATATGGTCCTCCACGTCTCGAGCGTGGTACGTCGCCAATTCGCATGCCTCGGGGACGTTCCTGATAGGCTCGGGAGCATTCCCGCCGTCCACGGCCTCGGTACTTGCAGGCAGTTCCCAACCGAGCATCAGGATCCTCAACGCCGGACACGCGGTGGACGCGCCGGGCGGCGCGACGGGACGCTCAGCCAGAGCCGGAAGGACGTTGTTCGGGCCGTCCACGCCTTTCACCTCCAGGTGGGTCAACAGAGGAAGTGCGCCCAGGACGGCGACCCAATCGGTGACGGTCTGTCTCTCGACGTCGGAGGGGTCGACGGCCTCGAGATGAGTGAGCTGGCTGGTGTGCAGGAAGTCTCCTAGACCGATGTGCCCCAGCTGTTGCTTAGAAGCGAGCAAGATGTGGAAGTTACGGACGTTGTCCGCGAAGCAGTCCAGTTGCCAAGAGTCGTTGAACCGTGTGGATAGGCGGAGAACCGCTCTGTCGAAGGGCCGCTTCAGCACCAGCTCTGCGGGCACCATCTCGAGACAATTGAGCTCGAACGGCTTGTCGTCCTGAGTGGAATACGCGTCGATCAGGGCTGTGCTCGGGACGTGGACGGCAGTAATGGTTTGTCGCGCTGAGGAAATGCTTGCAATCCCGACGGATAATACTTTCGGCAGCGGGAGGTGGGGTCCATGACCAGCGTGGACAGTCGCGGACTATGTGTCGGCGACCGAATGTGCCAGGAGTCGCAATCTCTCGAGTCGGTTGCAGCGCGCGAGTGCTTCGAAGAGCGACTCTGCCGGTAGCGGTGCCATCGAGAGAGTTGGCAACAGCTCGACGTCCCGTAGAGAATCGGCGGCAATGAATGGAAAGTACGCGGCTGGTTCGAGATGTACAAAGTGCAAGTGGGGC